ATTTCAGTTAAAAATTTAGTTTGCCACGTTAATTAATTTTTAAATAGAAAAAATTAAAAGTTAGTATCCTTAAAATAGAAAAAAATTAAAAATTAATATTTTTATTTAAAAACTATTAAAATTAATATTTTTATTTAAAAACTATTAAAATTAATATCTTTAAATAAAAAATATAAAATTAACACTTCTATTTACATTTTTGCACCAAAATTGTGAGCTTAGTGTTTTCATTTCGACTCAACAGAGATTCAATGTTGACCAGATTCTAAATTTCCCCTCCCATGTTAGCTTTTCTGCAAGCTTTTTTGCAATCCTCTGATTCCAAGGGCAAGCATGAAAAGGGAAACAATCAAATATGATTGAACAAAGCAGCATTTTTTTTTAACTCAAAAAGACAAAAGAACCAAACGAGACTAGATAAAATGTAAGGGCAAAAGAGGAAAATCACATTGAGTTAATAGACTTAAACATTAAATGCCCTTTTCACCCCCTACTAAAGGCTAAAACCTACTTTTAACCCTTTATCTTAATAAGTTTATAGGTTTTAGCCTCTCGTTTTATACTATAACACTTTTAGCCCTTCACTTATACGAATTAAAAAAATAACAAGTCAAGTTATAACGTTCTATTAATTTTGTTAGTTGACTGTTAACATTCTGTTAGTATTCCATTAATAGAATTAACATATAAAATTGGATTAAAATTTTATGTTTCTATAATGGAATGCTACAGATACTAACAGTTAATTAACAAAGTTAACATTCAATTAACAGAACTAACAGAACGTTATAACCTAATGTTAAGTGAGTTAATTTTTTCAATTCGTATAGATGAGGGGTTAAAAGTGTCATATTATAAGATGAAGAGATAAAAACTATAAACTTATTAAGGGTTAAAAGTATTATAATATAAGGTGAGGAGATAAAACCCATAAACTTATTAAGGTAAAAGGCTAAAATAGGTTTTTGTCCATGCTAAAAGTAAAGAAAAGAGCAAGGTTCAAGGATGAACAAGGACACAAAAAATAAAAAATAAAAAATAAGAATTGTAAAAAGACCAAAAGGGCAGAGTATGAGGACAAAAGGAAAAGGGGAGGATCAAGGGCAAAATAAGAAGAAAAAAAACTGTGAAAGGGGGGGTACTGTTCATTTTGCGAGGCGAGTCTTCCTCTCATTGGCTACTTAGATATTCACTTTTGCAATAGTATTGAAGAGGAAAAATTAGTAATAATCACAAATTTTACTTGTTAGAATTGAATTCAACATTTACAGGACGTGCGTGGACTTACCATACAAACAATTTCTTCCTCCAATGAGAAGCCTTGCATCTTCCCGTAGTGGCGGTGAAGAAAGTGGCAATTTCAGAATTCAAAGATTCTGCAAGATCCTATGCCCTCACTCAGCATTCAAAAAGTTTAGCTCATAATTCAAGCTCAAAATTCCTGTTTCTCACTTTTCATCAGAATTCATTCTGAACTCCTTTTTCACCTTTGCATTCAATCAGTTGAAACTCTTCCATAATAAGCTCAAACACAGTGGCTTGAGATGCCACATGCAAAATTTTAGCTTAGCTGTGAATCAATCCAGTATTTTCTCACCAGTTGAGAAGAGGTTCCAGATGACTGTTCCAACCAAGTAGAGCCCAACTGAAACTTTGAAAACATCATCCCAAGAACCTGTAGTTAGGAAGAAAACATCAAATGAATCAGCTATATAGCAAGAGTTGCTACAAAGAGGAGCATGATGCAGTTTGAGGCAGCATACTCTTACCATCTTGTATGTGCCAGAAATCAGATTTTATATTCTAATTAATTTCAGATAGTCTAACATGTATTTCTAGTTAAGTTTATTAGCAGCTCAATTCAAACATGAAAAGCAGGAGATCTAAGCATGCTGTAAGATGTAGCCAGTTGCTGCTGTTCTGAAGACGCCTGCCAACACTCCTGCCATGTTGGATAACCCAGGCAATACTCCATAAAGACAATATAAAAGGTGAAACTGTTATTTGCCTCAGAAAAGCTTAAGGTTGAGTTTGGATGAAGGATTTTAAGGTGGGATTTCATAATAAGAGGAAAATGTGAAGAAAGGATTATCAAATTCTTTCATTTTTGTCAATGGCAGAGTGAGATTATAGTTTAGTTAGAGGAAAATGAGGAATTGAACGAGGGATTTCAAAATAACACTTACAGAATATCAAGGGGCAATATCTTGATGGTTTGAATATAGACCAGACTGTGAGAATGCGTCAGTTCCCTATTTAAGAGAAATGAAATATTGAATAATTGATCACCCGCATACCTTGACCAGTTACCCAGAGCATCATGATATCCATGTTTCAAAGTCTTGTGTGACTGGCAAGAAGCATACCTGACTGCATGCCATACAAAAAACAGCCATTGCTGGAGAATCAACATGGCTTAGCCGAGTGAGGAAGAAAGCAGGGCCCAGAAATCCAATTGTTTGCATGATCTGCAATGGAGTACAGAGTAAGCAATATATTACATAAGCTTCCAAGGAA